AAGAGTTACCTGCACATTACAGAGAAGGCTCTGTCGGTGGGAGAGAGCTATAAGGAAGACACCAGGAGAGGAGAGGTTCACGGGGAAGGGTTAGGGTTAGCCGTGACAGGTGAGCCTCAAAGAGGGGCAGAGTAAAACCTGGGAAGAGATTTGGCAGTAAGATTATGGGTGAGAAGAACCTTGATAGAGGTTGAAGAATGAACTGGGAGGGTCGGGAAGTATAGAATTGATGAGCAAAGTTCATTGTTTAGGGAAGTTTGGCTGCGAATAGGAAAGAGAGTTGTTGCTTGAGGATTTCTAGCCTGGGGAACAGCTAGCGGCTAAAATGACAAGATTCTGGAGTGTGAGGATGAAATCATCTAGGAGGACAGAAGTTCACGATGGCTCCCTCTTTTGGAATCAAGACTACTAGATCCAGCCACTCTAATTTCACCCGCTACCCACTGTTATCCCACTCAAATATATGGCTCACATTCCCTGCCTCGGAGACATCGTTGCTGTTCTTACCCTGCCTTGGGATGCCTTTCCACCTCTCTCTCTTGCACGTAGCTAAACCTTACCCCTACTTCAAGCTGTCCCCAGCCTCCTTACCTTTATGAAACCTTTCCCACGATGGTAGACAGCAAGTGCCTTGGGTTAAGAGTCAGAAGCTGTGGGTTGAACCTTTAGCTCTGCCACTAAGTGTGTGACCTGGAGAAAGTCACTGTGATGTTTCTTTACCTTGGTTTTCTTGTCAGTAATACCAACCCTGACTTACACACAGGATTGTGTACAATTCAAATGAAATAATGCTTGTGAAATGCCTTTGAAACCACAAAACACAGCACCAGCGTATACTACTATCATTTCCTGACTATGCTTGTTTATACCATTCATTCAGTTGTGTTTTTTGCTGAATAAGTTAATTCATTCAACATTTTTTTTCAGTGCCCATTATGCCAGGCACTGAGGATATAGTGACAAACAAGACAGTCCCTACCCTTATGGAGTTTATTGTCTTGTGTAGGGGACAGAAATTCAACAAATATATATTATATAATAGCAGGTGGTTTAAGTACTATAAAGAAAAATAAAACAGGATGGGGGGGGCTAAGGAGTTATAGGGAAGGGTACTATTTTAGAGTGGTCAGGGAAACCTGACTGAGATTGCATTTGAGCAGAGTAGAATGAATTAGGGAGCAAGGCCACATGACCATCTTTGGGGGAAGAGTGCCTTAGCTGTGATGGGTAGGAGGGGCAGCAGGTACAAAGGCCCTGAGATGTGAATGTGCTCAATGTGTTCTAGAAGCAGCAAGGAGGCTAGTGTGGCTTATAGGTTACAGTAAAGATGTATTTTAAGGGTGAATGGGAAGGTTTTGAGCAGAGGAAGCAGATTTATTTTTAGTGATCACTCTGATAGCGATGTGGGGAGTCGATTGTAGAGGGTAGGAGTAGAAGCTGGAGACAGGAGCAGTAGGGCGGGGCAATAGGATAAAGGAGCGATGGTCAGGTTTTAGATATGTTCTGAGGGATTTGCTAATGGGTTAGATGCTGTGGGGCATGAGAGAGTCAGCAATTATTCCAAGGTGTTGGGCCTGGGCCAGTGGGTCTGTGGTGGTCTTGAACTGAAAATAGGCAGATGGGGGAGAAGAGAGTGGATTTTGTGGGGAAATTGTTCCTTTTCCTCTGTTCTTACTAATGCAATTTACTACTTAATGAGAAAAAAGTTTAATTAAAGCTGTAAGGATCTCACATATCATCTAATTCAGTGATGTCCGGTGATAGAAAATCATCTTTTGTAGGAGTAAAAGGAATACCTGGCTTCCCACCAAGATGAGCCCCCCGGCTCACCTCCCAGCCCCACTATTAATGCGGGCGTCTCAGTCCTCAGGCGCTGGACCAGAACTTTTGAAAACCATTGACCTACTTAGTTCTCTAGTTTTATGGGCTGAAGAGGTTACTGGAAGTGCCCAGGGACACAAAACTGCAGCTCTCTGATTTCAGTTAGCAATTGCTTCACGTGTGGTTCATTTTTCTTTTCAGTTTGACTATAAACTCCTTGAAAGCAAGAACTAAGTCATAAATTCTTTCATATTTTCCTTTTTACCTAGGAGAATACTGAGTGTTAATAGGCATCCGTCCAAACATTAAGTTGAGCATAAAACCTATGGAAAAGGAAGTCAGGTCTTCTACATGGTGACACCTGTGCTCTTACCTGCTTTGTTAGTAAGGGCATGGCCATTGCTGGATTGCCCACAGGCTTGGGGCATGAGCAAAGTACAGACACCAAAAGAAAAGAGAGAGAGAGGTGGCTCAGCCTTGAAAAACTTAACAGAAATTTTGGAATCAGATAACCAAGAAAGAAGGCACTAGGGAGTCATTTTTACCACATCTCACTATTGCTTTTACAGGAAACTGTGAGAGTACAACCAAGATAACTTTTTCAGTGCTTATAACTTTTTTTTAAGTTTTGTGCTTTATTTTTTTACTTTTTAATGTAATTTTATTTTTAGAGAAAGAGAGGGAGGGAGAGAGAGCGCGTGAGAGTGATCGATTGCCTCCCGCACACACCCCAACCATGGATCAAACCCGCAACCTAGGTATGTACCCTGATCAGGAATCGAACCCACCACCTTTCTGTGTATGGGACGGAGCTCCAGCCAACTGAGCCACATCGGCCAGGGCGCGTGCTTAGAACATTTGTAGGTCTGAATTCAGCCCTGGGACAGTCTTTCCTGTATGTGTGGTGTTGATGTGCTGCTGTTTTTTCTGTGATATTAATATTAAATTGTGCCCATGTTGTACTTTTATTCTCTAATAGGTGTTGTAAGTACACATATAGTTAGAGGCTGCATTTCTAATTTGCTGGTTTTTGAGATTGCTGAAACAATTTTCTTATTTAATAATTAAAAATAATGTGCTCTAGGTGTGGCAAGAACTGCCAGTGGGACATTCCATCATTAGCTTTAGAGGGACAGGGTCTCCTGTGAAGTGAGGTGCGGTGTACTCATTTGAATGGTTGCTCACAGCGGTGATAGATGCCCTTTCACTCCCCTGACCCGCCGTGCTGGTGTCGGCACTTGCGTTTGCAGTGGACCGTGTGCAGTAGCCCACGACTCCTATTTTGATCAAGAGCTGGCACTTGCACGATGGTGTAAGAGTTTGGGGTGTCCTTTGGCTGTAAACGTCCTTCTTTCTTTCCCATTTTTTGTTGCTTTCTTCCCTTGTCTTCAAAGTTACATGAAATCGAATGATTATTATAGGGAATAAATCTGAAACCTTGACGTTTTAGATATTTGGGGCCAACCAGGTCAAGCGAGGCTTTAAAGAAGCCTGTCTGCCTTTTCATTGACGTGGAAGAAAGTACTGGAGTAGAGGGACTGGCTCTGTGCTTTAAATCTTAGATGATCTAATTTTCTTCCAGTTTTGATGGGTTTGTTTCTTGGTACATACCATATTCTTCTGTAGGTTTTATAGTGCTGAGCTAAAAATGAAGCTAATATGGCCTTTTTGAGATGTTATCACTTATTGGAGAATCATATTTCAGTGCCTCCCATGCATACAGTATGGCCATTGGTGGACCGATGATAATTAATGTTTATTGAATGGTGAGTAGCTTCCAAGCTCTGCATCAAGCACTTTTGCGCATTTTGCACATTGTTTGCCCCCAACCAGAATGAAAGGAGCACCCATAACAAAATGTGTGCTTTGTAAGGGCAGAGATTTTGGTCTGTTTTGTGAATATTCTGTTTTTGTCCCTCATCCCCATTGATGAGAACAGTGCCTACCACACAGTAAGTCCTAAGTAAATGTTTTTCAAGTGAATGAATTATTTTATGTATTCCCCAGCAGCTGTCTGAGGCAGATGTTTCTAGATTGCCGGTAGGTGGAGGAGCCAGGATCGGAGCTTATGCTGAAGTGCTGCGGGCCGTGCGCAGTCCCGGCACAGAGATTTTCAGTTCCTGCCCCTACCTAGTCCACATGAAGCTCGCTTGTGCAAACGGTTAAACAACAGGGCTGCAGTATTTGTACGCAATAGGAGAGATGTGAAAAGAGGGCCGGAAGAATTACAAATAATGTGAATGAATGCATGTGAGTCTCTTGGAGCTGGCCCTGCACATAACAAATGCTTAATACATGTTAGCTATTGTTGTCACTGCTACTACTGTTACGTCACCATTGTCGTCATCATTTTTTATGAATCCTGTGAACTCTAAAGTGAGTGACTGTTCACATCTGGGTTGAAGTGGTCAGAGATGGTTTCATGAACAAGATGGTCCCTGTGGCTTGGACAGAATGTGCGCAGGTGGGGACAGGAGAGGAGACACTTGAGAAGATTCCTATAAACACGGGACTGGGGCTGAAAGCGCATGTGCCTTGTTCTTCAGACAGCAAAGAGACCAACGTGTCTTGTGCAGACGGGCATGTGGCTTACAAGAGGGGGTAAAGATTAAGATTGATCATTCAGAATTTGTTTATTATGTTATGAATGCTACATTATATTCATAAAATTGGATTTGAAAACCCTGCATGTGTTTCTATCTGCAAGCTACCAAACACCCATTAATAGAAAATTATATGGTCATTTTTAAATGCTATAACCTGTCGTCGCAAGTTTGTATCTTCTTGAGATAAAGTTTGTGCCTTTGATGTTACATAGCCTGTGAGAACAGACTTTGTCCTTAAAAAGGCCACTTCCATTGGCCTTGTGTTTCTGAGATGTAAGGCCCTCATTTGTGATTATTGAATCAAGCATATCTCGGAGGATTAGTCAGAGCATTACCTGCTGCCATAGCCTCCTTAACGGGCGGTCATTCTCCAGAGCTCTAGGCTTGTGCTTATTTGGCCTCGTGTCTCTTCTAGCACTGAACACAGTTGCTGGCATAAGCGAAGGATGCAATAAATTGTGGCTGAATTGAATTTTCAAAGCATTCGAGGCTGGCCTCCTCCGCACTGGTGGGAGTAGTTTGCAACACAGCTATATTTTTTGAGTTCTGTAACACATTTAATCTTGTTCTTAGGTCCAGCCTGATGCCAGGAGGGGCTAAGCGAGAAGTACCCAATCCTTGGCTCTTTGAGGAGCCAGAGGAGACCAGAGGCTTGGGCTTTGATGAAATCCGGCAACAGCAGCAAAAGATCATACAAGGTACTGAATACCCAAGGAGTGTGGGCTCGGAAATCTTGTCAGGTTTTTACTGTAGCCTTGAATCTTCCTGACACCCACCGAAGATCAGAGGCAGAACTGATGGTCTTTTAAAGCCCTTGGTAGTTTTGTGCCTCAGGATACCTGAAGAACAGACAGTGGCATCATCCATTGGGGTAACACGGAGGTGTTGATTCTCTGCTGGGAGTGGGAGCTCCGGCAGCTCTGCGGCTGGGGAGCCAGGGAACCCGAGGCAGGCGTGCCCCCCTCTTCTCCACAATTGGGAATTTAGTCTCCAAACACAAGACTCCGTCTTTTTCTCTGTAAAATAAGTCCGTTTGCCTTTACCTTCAAGTTCATCTTGCCCAGTGGCTTTTAAACCTGCTAATTATTTTTTTACTGTCCTCTATTTTCTAAATTTCAGAAGTAATGCATGATTGTTATACAAAGTTCAAACAGTACAGGGATATATAAAATAAAAAGCTCTCCTTATTGCTTCCCCAATATATAAACAAATTAGTATATATTTCCTCAGACTGTCTGTCCATACATATATATACTCAGTATAAGCTCACCTATTTTGCATAAGTGGAATTATGGTATATATAATTCCACAGCTTTTTTATTTTTTACTTCATATGTGTCATGGACATTTTTTCATGTCAGTATCGACATGTTATTCTTTCTAATTCTACTTTTTAAAGCAGCTTTATTGAGGTGTAGTTGACATGATAAGTAGCACACGGCGTATGTGATTCGGCCCGCTTTGACATATGTATGCACCTGTGCAGCCATCACCGTAATCAAAATAATGAACATAATCGTTACTCCCAGAAGTTCTCTTCAATTCTCTTTGTAATTCTTACTATTGTCCCTCCCCCAGTCCCTAGACAGCTGCTGATCTGCTTCCTGTCACTATAAATTAGTTTCTATTTTCTATAGTTTTACATAAATGGAATCATACAGTGTGTACTCCTTTTGGGAGGAGGGAGTCTGGCTTCTTTATCTAAGCATAATTATTTTAAGATTCATCCACATTGTCGAATGGGTCAGTATTTCATTCTTCTGTGTTGCAGAATAGTATTACCTGGTTTGAATTGACTACATCTTTGTATCCATTCACCTGTTGATGAGTATTTCAGTATTCCAAATAAAATTGCTATGAATGTTCTTATGCAAGTCTTTGTATAGACTAAAATTTTATTTTCTTAGGTAAATCCCACCAGTGGAATGAGTGGTCAATGTAGGTGTATGTTTAATTGTAAAAGAAATTGCTATACTAGTTTTGAAAGTGGTTGTACTACATTACACCACCATCAAAAAATGTCTTCTGTTTGTTTCAGTTTCTCACCAAACTTGGTATAGCTGGTCTTTCTAATTTTAGATATTTTAATCGGTGTGTGTTGCATGTCATTGTGGTTCTAATATGTATCTCCCTAATGACTACAGTAAAACCTCCATATAACAGACTGATTCGGGTGAGAGGATGTTTGTTAAAGCCCAAAGTCCATTATATAATAAATAGGTTTTCCAAACGCATATGTTAAAAAATTGACAAATCAGTTAGTTTTCCTGTTTTGACTTATATAGACACTTTTGTGTAACTTAAGTATGTATGAAAATAATTTCACAGAAAAGTTTTCTATATGTATTATAGTAATTTTAAATTTATACTGAATAGATCTAGTAAATGTGTGCATTCACAGGCACCGAGAGTAAACAAATACACACAGCTAGGGTGTGGCTCAACACAAGTTGGAACATGGGCCGGTGCATTAAAACTGTTGCAGAAAGTCACACCATGTGACAACAGAACCGATTACTGTGCCCAGTGTGTGATGATCACGTGCTAATCATTTGCCGAACGTTGTTTACGAGTAGTGACTCTTGGATTTAAATATGTAGACTATAGTTGTAGATGTGTAATATTTATTTACGTTGGTGAAATTAGGACAGTGGTTTTTCCAACATATGGCCTATTTGCTAAAATTCGTTAAAAATAACAGTGAATTAAAACAAAAAAAATAACCTGTTAATTTAATTATAATTAAATCTTGGTTGAAAGCATTTTAAAATTACCAGGGTGTTAATTTTCACATATGACGTACTGACTGGAAATTTTGTTTGTTAAATCCAAGCCTGGCCGGCATGGCTCAGTGGTTGAGCATTGACCCATGAACCAGGAGGTCACAGTTCTTGGTCAGGGCACATGCCGGGGCTTCAGGCTCGATCCCCATTAGGGGGCATGCGGGAGGTAGCCAGTCAATGGCTCTCTCTCATCATTGATGTTTCTCTCTCTCCCTCTCCCTTCCTCTCTCTGAAATCAATAAAAACATATTTTTTTAAAAATCCGAAGTCTGTTAAACCAAGGTCCACAAAATCGAGGGTTTACTGTAATGAATCTTTGTATGTACTTCTTTGCTATCAGTTTGTCTTCTCTGGTGAAGTGTCTGTTCAAATTGTTTACCTGTTTTTAATTGGGTTGTTTGTCTTCTGCTATTGAGTTGTAAGAATTTTCTTATATACCCTTTTATCTGTTATTTGTCACATATAGTTTTACAAATATTTTCTCTCCATCTATGCATTTTTCATACTTTAACGATAATCTTTTAAAGAGCGGAAGTTCTTAATTTTGATGAAGTCCAATTAGAAATCTTTGACTATCTATAGCCACAAAGATTTGTGTGTTTTTTCTAGAAACTTTACAGTTTTAAGTTTTACATTAGGTCTGTGATCTACTTTGAGTTAACTTTTTATGTAGAGGGGTATAAGTAGAAATTCTGGTTTGGGGGTAGGTTTTTATTCGTTTGTTTTGCATTTGTATATCTACCTGTCCCAGCACCTTTTTTTAAAAAAAAGACTATCCTTTCTCTGCTGAATTAGTCTACCTGTATCAAAAATCAATGGACCATATATGTGTGGGCCTATTTCTGGACTCTTCATTCTGTCCCATTGGTCTGTTTGTTTATCTTTACATCAATGTCATACTGTCTCAGATAAGAGTCTTTGTAAGTCTTTAAGTCAGGTCGTGTAAGTCTTCCAACCTTATTTTAAAAATTTTTTGGAACCCGGCCAGTATGGCTCACTCAGTTGGTTGGGTGTCGACCCATGCACCAGAAGGTCGTCAGTTTGATTCCTGGTCAGGGCATGTGCCCAGCTTGCAGGCTCGATCCCCATAGGGGGTGTGCAAGAGGCAGCTGATGGATGTTTCTCTCTCATCAGTGTTTGTATCTCTCTCCCTCTCCCTTCTTCTCTCTCTAAAATCAATGAAAACATTTTAAAAAATATTTATTGGATATGCTGGGTCTTTTGCATTTTCATGTGAATTTTAGAATCTGCTTTCAATTTCTACAAGAAAAAAACCTTGAAATTTTGATTGGGATTATATTTAATCTTAAAATTAAATGGGGGAAGAATTGACACTTTAACAATATTAAACTTCTGATCCATGAATACAGTATCTCTCTCCATTTATTTAGTTTTTAAAAAATTTTCTCAGCATTGTTTTTGAAATTTTTACTATGCATATATTATACATGTTTTATCATATTTATCTCTTAGTATTTCATATTTTATTCTCAGTGACATTTTAACATTTTTATTTCTGATTGTTGCTAGTATATAAAATTACAATTGATTTTTATATATTTATCTTGGATCGTGCAACTTTTTAAAACCTAATGACTTGTTCTAATAGGTTATTTTTTGTAGACTAGGTAGGACTTTTTAAATACAGTAATTATGTTGTCTGTAAACAAAGACAGTTTTACTTCTTCTAAGACAATTTTTTTAGAGCAGTCTTAGGTACACAGCAAAACTTAGAGGAAGATATGGAGTTCCCATATAACCCCTGCCCCTACACATGCATAGTCCTCCCCCATTAACATCCCCACCAGAATGGTACATTTGTTACACTTAGTGAACCTACATTGACTTATCATAATCACCCAAAGTCTATAAGTTTATCTTAAGGTTCACTCTTGGTGTTGTACATTCAGTGTGTTTTGATAAATATATAATGACAAGTATCCATCATCAGAGTAACATACAGAGTATTTCTAGTGCCCTAAAAATCCTCTGTGCCCTGCCTACTTATCCTTCCCTCTCCCCTCAATCCTTTGTAACCTCTGATCTTTTTACTGTCTCCATGTTTTGCCTTTTCCAGAATGTCATATAGTTGGAATTATACAGTAGGTAGCTTTTTTAGATTGACGTCTTTCATTTGGTAATAGGATACCTGATTTCTTTTTTTTACAGATGTCCCTTTTTCTCCCCAATGACCCGTTCCACCCTGTTCCTTCCCCCTCCCCAGTCCCTCTCCCCACCATTGTCCATGTCCTTGGGTTGTGTATATATGCACATAAATTCTTTGGTTACTCTCTCCCCCTCCACCCACCCACCCTCCTCCATCCCTCTGACATTCATCAGTCTCATCTATGCTTCCATGTCATTGAATCTATTCTGTTCATCAGTTTATTAAGTTCTTTAGATTCCACGTATAAGCGAGATCATGTGATATTTGTCTTTCGCTGCCTGGCTTATTTCACTTAGCATAATATTCTCCAGGTCCATCCATACTGTCCCAAAGGGTACGAGATTCTTCTTCTTTACAGCTGCGTAGTATTCCATGGTGTAAATGTCCCACAGCTTTTTTATCCACTCATCTACTGATGGGCACTTGGGCTGTTTCCAGATCTTAGCTATTGTAAACTGTGCTGCTATGAACATCGGGGTACATATATCCTTTCTGATGAATGTTTCAGGATTCTTAGGATACATTCCTAGGAGTGGAATCACTGGGTCAAAAGGCAGCTCCATTTTTAATTTTTTGAGGAACCTCCATACTGTTTTCCATAGTGGCTGCACCAGTCTGCATTCCCACCAGCAGTGTACTAGGGTTCCCCTTTCTCCACACCCTCGCCAGCACATGTCGTTTGTTGATTTGTTGATGGCAGCCATTCTGACAGGTGTGAAGTGATACCTCATTGTGGTTTTAATTTGCA